GTGTGATTGAAAAGAAGATTCTGGTTTCCTAGAAGACAATATTTTGGCCTGTGTTAACTCTTATTCTGAATGTTTGTTTACATAATGTACAGTATATATTCAGAAAGTATTTTTGCTTCAACATTTACTTTCTATAACGTAGTGCTTTGGTATTCCCATGGCACCCCTCCTCCCCAGTAGATGGACAGTGTTCTATCTCAGTGCTAAATGTACAGTGTAATGTGAGTGCATTGTATGGGTTTGAAACCAAAGGATGAATGAAGCATTCAGAGACTTAATATTTGAAAAAGAGATACTCTGTATTTTATATTTTACTACAGGTACTAAAATTTATAAACTTAATAAAATGTCCAATGCTGCTGCATGTTTTCAAGTATATGTCAAACAATAAGGATTGAGGAATTTTTTTAATAGTCACCTAAAGCAGCTACTGTAGAAATATTGAACTAAAATTCTGTTTCCAGACACACCTTCATGAATTTGTCATTTGCAGATTTTTTTTTGTCATTATTTGAAAAATAGGCATTTCTAGGTTCCAAAGATCACATGAGGGCTATGGGTGTATCTCAGTGCTAGAGCAGTACTTGCCTAGCATGTGTGAGGTCCTGGGGTTCAATCCCCAGCACCAAAAAAGGAAGAAAAAGGATCACTGGACCAGAGCAAATTAAAGTTAAGTTTTCTGTCATCATCCCTGTCAGAGCTCACTGAAATGTGTGTGATGGATAACGTATGTTCACTCTCGACTTTATTTTCAGACGCTTAACTGGGCAGTGAAGTCTAACTTCAGGTTGAACTTTCTCATGCTTAATCTCAGGCTAAATGTAAATGATATTTGTAAAGTTTGAATAAAATTCTGTTTATCATTTTTTGAGTTAAGTATGAAGAAAAGCAATTGTGTTTAAAAATTGAAATTGTTCATTTTGTGATAAATGATTGATTCCAAAAGCTTCTGTTTCCATTTTTCAATTCTACATTGTTATATTCTTTTGATTTGAAGTGAGTTAAGTGAGTTGCCTTTTTTAATTACCATGAAAGAGGAACAGCAAGAGAGGATATTAGTAAAACTACACAGATCTACATGAGAACCTAGACATTAAAACCTCCATTTTGCTGGGTATGGTGGCACATGCTTATAATCCCACCCTCTCAGAAGGTAAAGGCAGGAGAATTACAAGTTCAAATTCAGCCTGTGCAACAGAGCAAGACCCCAGGAATTTGGCAGGAGGATTACAAATTCAGGTCAGCCTCGGCAACTTAGACCCTGTCTCAAAAAATAAAAACAGGTGGGGATGTAGCTTAGTGATAAAGCACTTCTGAGTTCCATTCCCAGTACAAAACAAAACAGTTTAAAGAATTTAGGCAGACATGAAGTCTGTCACTCCTAAAATAAAAAATGGGGGGGGGTAGCTTCTAGACAAATAATTCTTATGAAAGAATTTTTTAAAAAGAAGAAAAAAGAAAGGGCAAAAAAAATATACATCTCTCTCTCTTGGAAACTATTTTAAAAAACAAAAAAACCTGAAAGATATTCAACCAATTAAGAATATCAGAAAGGAAAATTTTAAATAATCCGACCATTTCACTTAATAATTTAGTGATTTTAAATACTAGGACTTTGGGGCTCTACCCCATTCTCTTAGAGAATATGTGGATGAAATATTGGCAACAAAACTTGACAGATTTTAACTCTTGAACTGATTGTAGCAATCTGGTGTGGGGAAATGATCAACAAATGATGTTTGTTTAATGAAAACTTGGCAAGACTCTAAAGAGCAGTGTGTTATGCTACATCCTTTTGATGAAAAATACAGTGATTTAAAATTATGCAAGATGGCAGTAAGGGGAGATTACGTTGCTCTAAAATATAGGAGCTACTTACTAAAATAATGTTCTGAAATGTTAATGGTCACCACTCTGTAGTAAGTTAGGTAATTCTCATTCTCTTTATACTTTTTCTCGTTTCCTATATTAAGGGAGTCACACAGGGTGGAGATCAGTGCTTCAGTACATGTTCAGCATGCATGAGGCCCTGGGTTCAAATTCCAAAACCAAAAATAAAGAGGCAGGCATGCGACCTGCACAGGGTTTCTACGTACTGTGGGGCAGTGTGATGGGGAAGAGTGGCATCTCATTTTCTGTAGTGACGCTCCTGCCTTTGTATAGGTTCCAGAATCAACTGTTACACTTCCCACACAGCTCATTAGCTAGTGCTGTACTGACTGTTAGCTTCTCAGTCTTTCGCTGCACTATTCTCTCTCCAGCATTCAGAAACAAAATGTCATGGGTGCACCCTTGTAATCTCAGCCACCTGGGAGGTTGAGGCAATTAGATGGCAAGTTCAAGGCCAGCCTTAGTAATTTAGTGAGATCCTGTTTCCACAACAGAGCTGAAGATGTAGCTCAGTGGTAGAGTGCTCTTGGGTAAGGCTCTGGGTACAATCCCCAGCGTCATAAATGAATGAATGAATGAATAAATAAATGGCACTGTCAGACTCTTCCCTCTTAGATTCTGAAGTGTGCCACACTGACTTAAGAAATCTCAACACTTATTTTAGGAATGGCATAGCTGAGAGGAACCTGCTCAGCAGCCTAGCCTAGCCTACAGTTAGATCAAAACAAGTCTGACACAGAGCATGGTGGTGCACACCTGTAAATCTTAGCATCTCAGGAGGCTGAAGCAAGAGGATCTGAGTTCAAAGCCAACCTTAGCAACTTAATAAGGGCCTAAACAACTCAACGAGACCCTGTTTCAAAAAAAAAAAAAAAAAGATTAAAGGGATTGGGATGTGACTCAGCGTTGAAGCATTCCTGGGTTCAATCCCCAGCTCACCACCCCCCAAAAAAGGTCTGTTCATACAGTAACATAAAGCCATCACATGAACTTCGTGATTATGTGTAGGCTGATTTAGAAAGAGGGAAAAAATAAAGACACATCAGTTGGTATAACAGAAGTAATTCAGTAGACTTCTACCAATATAAATATAAAATAATCTGGAAGCCATCAGCATTGTAACTACAGAGCTAGTTCATTTGCCATTATCTGGAGTGTAATCAGTAAGAATGAAACAAAGGTAAGTTATTTCATTGTAGTTATCTAGCTGAAATACTTCCAAAGTATTTACCTACCTAACTATATCAATAAGGAAAGGAAAGACAAATTAACACCTTGAAGATGAGGAATCAGGTGAACATTAGAATATTTGAGCCAACAAGTCCTTTGAAAGAATGCTGAATCATATCTACCCCATCAGCTTTGGCACCAGTCTTGCATGAGTGCCTTTGCATTTAAATTGATAGCACTTTTTTGTGCCTTGAGCAAATTGTTCCCAACTTTGCAAAAATTCAAACAGAAGAAGTTTTAATGAGGCTCACACATATTTTTTTAAAAATATATAAAAAGACTGGGCACAGGGCTGGGGATGTGGCTCAAGGGGTAGCGCGCTCGCCTGGCATGCGTGCGGCCCGGGTTCGATCCTCAGCACCACATACCAACAAAGATGTTG